CCACCCTGTACCCCCAGACCACCCTGTACCCCCAGACCACCCTGTACCCCCAGACCAGCCTGCACCCCCAGTGCCCCCACCCTGTGCCCCAGAACATGCTGTGACTTCCAAAGCCCCGGTACAGACTGTGATCCCAGACCAGCCCGTCCCCCACAGGGAGCCTCCACACGTGGCCTGGGCCCGACACCCAGCCTGTGACTCCGCACACAGCTGGCGCCCTCAGCAGCCTGCGTTCCCCAGAAACACCCACACCCGGGGACAGCCTGTGCCCTGTGCACGTGCCCACACACAGCCTGTGCCCCGAGAGAGAGGCTGGGTTCCTGGTGTCAGCTTGCTCGTCCCACTCCCAGGCAGCTGCACCCCCACCCCGCAGGCCCTGGGAGACGGACAGCCTTGATCCAAGTATCACCAAGCCTGTTCCCATCTACTGATTCCACCAAATGAACCTCTCACCTCACATCTCCCTACCCCCGAAACATCCCACCCCTGCTTCCCAGGAAATGTTACCTTAACTGCCCTGAGATGTTCCCCCCCCCCCAACCTACTGCATATCATGGGGTTCCTCTGTGTTGATTTTTATAGCAATGCTTACCTTTCAAAAATACATATACATATTTTATTATAAAATGGAGGTACAGTCCGCAGGCCAACGCTCTATCCACTGAGGAAGGGAGAGGGACAGAGAGAGAAACATCAGTGATGAGAGAGCATCATTGATCGGCTGCCTCCTGCAACCCCCCTACCGGTGATCGAGCCTGCAACCCAGGCATGTGCCCTGGCCAGGAATCAAGCCGTGACTTCCTGGTTCAACCACTGAGCCACACCAGCCAGGCACAGCTCTCTTTTTCCAAAACAATTTTTTTAAAAATGTATTGATTTTATTTTCCAAACAAGCCGTGACTTCCTGGTTCAACCACTGAGCCACACCGGCCAGGCACAGCTCTCTTTTTCCAAAACAAATTTTTTTTTTAATTTATTGATTTTATTTTCCAAGTGGGATGTGCCATATCCTTTGGGGTCAGAGACAAGATGGCCTAGAGCAGTGGTTCTCAACCTTCCTAATGCCGCGACCCTTTCATACAGTTCCTCATGTTGTGGTGACCCCCAACCATAAAATTATATTCGTTGCTACCTCATCACTGTAATTTTGCTACTGTTGTGAATCGTCATGTAAATATCTGATATGCAGGATGTATTTTCATTGTTACAAATGGAACATAATGAAAGCATAGTGATGAATCACAAAAACAATATGTAATTATATATGTGTTTTCCGATGGTCTTAGGCGACCCCTGTGAAAGGGTCGTTCGACCCCCCAAAGGGGTCGCGACCCACAGGTTGAGAACCGCTGTCCTAGATTATTAGTGAATGGGATGCCAGACACCTCACACTGTCCCGGAACAATGTACCACGCCGGCTAGATGGGACGGCCCAGTCCCCTCATGGGTGTGGGCCAGTCCCCCCATTGACTGCGACAACAGGGTCTAAATCAGTGATGGCGAACCTATGACACGTGTGTCAGGGGTGACACGCGAACTCATTTTTTTGGGTTGATTTTTCTTTGTTAAATGGCATTGAAACATCTAAAATAAATATCAAAGACATAAGTCTTTGTTTGACTATGGTTGCAAATATCAAAAAATTTCTACATGTGACACGGCACCAGAGTGAAGTTAGGGTTTTTCAAAATGCTGACAGGCCGAGCTCAGAAGGTTCGCCATCACTGGTCTAAATGGACATCTCACGCCCCCTCCTTCCCTCAGGCCACCAGGTGGAGCGTCCCCTGACTCACCTGACTCAGTTTACCTCTCCTCCTCGCTTTTCTCTTCTGTAGAATGGGGGCGGTGATAACTACGCCCAGGGTTGCTCTGTGGACTAACGAGTTAGTGCATGTGGAGAACCTAGAACAGAGCCGGTGCTTCGTAAGCATCTCCTACTTGTGTCACCTCCACACCCCCCTTCGGTCTGGAAAGTTCCTTTTTCCCATCTCCCCCCC